TGGAGTCTAACTTGGAACGAATCTGAGCGACTTTGTCCTGCAGATGCTCTGAAAATTCCTCCACATGGCCCTGCAAATGAACCCCCACATCCCCCTTACCAAGTGATCCTGAACAGGGCCACCAGGCAGCATTCTGTGGACGCGATAAGAGTGGAGAAGTATACTGTAGCTTGGGAAATAAAGAGAATGCTCTGAGTAGAAAACTATTGAGATTTCAGCAGAAACGGTTGTCTTCACTGATAGACATGCAAAGGAAATAATAAATTGCATGATCTACCAATCTAAGCATTTCAGGCTATACACATCTCAGAAAGGTTCTTCCTCTTCCCATGCAACTGCTTTGAGATAATGCATGCTTTGTCCTTTTCTCTTATTATCTTGTACTCTGCTGTCAAGTTTTTCTTTCTATGTGTGTCTTTATGTGGTCTCTTCATTTCACTTAGATTTCATTTAAGCATGCTTTCATTTCTGATTGAATCTTCTGTAAGTTGTTGGTTACGACAGTAAAGCTATCATGAAGAAAATGTCATAAAAAAGAATGCAGAAATTGTATTTTTGTTATAAATATTGTTGCTAATGTTTTAATAATAAAAAGAAATCTCTGAGAAAAGTACTTAGAATCAGAAGATTTACAGAATTAGAAATTTAGTGGTTTTTCTGTATTCGGTGTTGATTCAAATGAAACTGAAAGTCACCTTTCTTTTAAGAGATTTTTCAAAAGCAACATAGACATTATCTCCTAAACTTTAGTATTTCTTTCTTATAATACATCAAATACTAGTATAAGGTATTGATAGTTATTACTGAAGGTGGGCTTATTCTGAATTTGATATCATTTCAAGCACCTGGACTGAAACCACGGAAACAACTTCCTGAGCGTGCTGCTCCTCCACCTAAGGAAGAAGTTATTCTGAAAAGAGGTATAGTCATTGGTCTTTATTATTAAAAAAAAAATTAATAGGCATCACGGACCATCATACTCCAAAATAGTTGCTACCTAACAATATATGATGAAATGAAAGTATAACCAGACATCACCTTCCCTTCTGCAACTCCTCCCACCACACACATGTTTTTTGAGGAGCTCTTACAGAATTGTGTTAAGCAGATAGGTCATTTGCTGGTTCAAAGAAACCTTGTTCCCATGTTTCTTACTGTCTAGATCTGCTAAACATCTGCTAGAAAATCCAGATTTTCAGAAGTTTTGATCACCATAATATTTGCAACATAAAATGATCTGGTATAATTCTTGCTCCTAGATGCATTTTTAAGTTTTTTTAATTAAAAAAATGTATTTAATTTCATCCTCCCTCAAAACAAATTCCTTCATGGGAATCAGTGATAAATGTTCACACCATGCAATTTTAATTTGGTAATTAGTTTATCAATTTGATCATCGTTGTCCAAATGCAAATTGTGTTACTTGAATGAAAGAATTCAACATATGGTTTCACTATTGGACCCTTTTTATTTCTTCTATTTGCCTGTATATTTTAAATAGAATTTTTTTATAAGAAAAATTGTTTGGCAACTCATCCAAATGTTTTTGAAAGAAAATGCTTTCTCTTTTAAAGTCACAAAAGCTGTTAAGAAGCCTGAGGAGGAAGAGGCTAAACCAGAGAAAGAGCCTAAAGTGGAACCCAAGCCTGTTGAAATAATTAAGAAGCCTGAAGGTACAAATAAAAAAGAAGATAGCTATGATGTTATCCATTAACAGACTCAGTTTAAGCCCCCAGTTTCATAACTACTTTCAGTACATGAACCATAATATAGGAATCACATTTTCAATTCATTATGTCTATAGTATGAAATCTGAAAAAATACCAAACTGAAACATTTCCAAAATGTTTCGGACATAATGTGTAGTGTAATAGCTTTATTTCTTCTCACCCTTCTATACATTTATTCCTTCAGAGTCTTGAAAGAAATCAAACAGAAGGGCTATGATTGATTTATATTCTGTGAACTCTTGTCTTTTTTTTCTTTTCTTAACTTTGACATACTTATTAGCCTTGGCAAACTTTTATATTAAAAAAAAAGCCAAGCTACTTGTGTTTTTCATGATGAATAATGTATTGGGGAGTCAAAATATTTATATTCAGCTACCAAATAAAACTTTGTTTTAAGTGCCAGAGATTGAAAAGAAGAAAATTGAGATTCCACCAATCAAGAAAAAAGAAGAAAAAGAAAAGCCAGTGCCTGAACCAGCCAAAGGTATCCATACTGGTATTGCTGTTTTCTTTGCTGCTACCAACTAAAATTGGAAGTGATCTTGAACATTAGTTTTCAAGATAAAGGCATCTTTCATTTCAGGCAGCCAGAAATGCTACTATCTTTATGCTATTCTAACTACTCTCTCATTCTACCATACCCAATCTCCTCCTCCTCCTCCTCCTCCCCCTCTTCTTCCCCTTTCTCCTTTTCTTCCTCCTCTTTTTTTTTTTCTTTTTTTTCTTTTTTTTTTTTTTTTTTTTTTTTTTTTTTTTTT